AAATCACTACTGGATTGGTTCGGGGACCCACTAGACCCACTTTGAGACATTCTTGAGATAAGACTCCATTAATAACCTGACCTCCATATGCCCCTCCTCTGACTGGTAGGCTACAGTGATGTTTTGGGTTTCCTGGAATTAGTGTCAGTGTAGAGCCAGTGTCCAGTAAGCCCCAGCAAGTCTAATTATTTCCTTTTCTCCAATGAACAATCACTCTCATAAAAAGCCTTTAAATCCCTTTGAGGAATGGTATTAACAGTATAAATTTTTGACAGTATAGTGGAGTCTTTCCTCAAGGGGACCCAACTTCCTCATTCAAGTAACTGTGGGTCTGTAAACTGGCTCAAGTATGGTAATTGATTGAGGGACCATCACTCTCTATTCTGGTAATTCAAATTAAACTGCCATTCACTTAACTTAAAATCCTTCCACTTGCATAGATCAAGTAAATATGTAGTAGACTTCCCATTATTTCACTCCTGGGGGCACCATGCTTAAGCAGTAAGTCCCTATGAGCAGACTATTCTGATTACTGCTTTGACTCTTCTGTCCAATACAGTAATCATGCCCACTGTGTCTTTGGCAATTAAGTGCCACCACTTAGCCCTTACCACCCCTGATGTAGTTAGGGCAGTCCCTACTATCGATTCTGACATATCTAAGGTACCAGTTACAGCAGTCTTCAAAGATTCTGGGGCAAATATATAACTGTCGCATCATGGATTATAAAACACAATAATTTTAAAGTGACAGTTCACCCCCAAAATGATTTATCAATTCAGCACCATCCCATAAATACCCCAGTTAGTATTTCTTACAGAAATTGGAAAGATTATTCTAAAACTTATGTGAAAATGCAAAGGATTTAGTGTAGCTGAAACAATCTTGACAAAGAAGAATAAAGTTGTAGCACTTACCTACTTGATATTAGGATTTATTTTAAGGATACAGCTAAAAAGAAACTATAGCATTGGTGAAAGCATAAATAGCTCAATGGAACAGAATAGTGTTCAGAAATCTATCGCACTTTGTCAGTTTGACAAATGTGTTGAGCTAATTAATGAAGAAAGGAAGGTCATATTATCAAATGGTACTGCAACAAGTGGATATCTGTATGGAAACACTGAACCTCTATCCCTGCATCACAACATACAAAACACTTCACTTGAAAGGTATCATAGATAGGAAAGTTAAAACTACAAAGCTTCTAGAAGAAACCATGGAGACTATCTTCATTATGTAATGTTAAGCAAAGAATTCTTAGGACAAAAAATGTACTAACTATAAAGGAAAAAGCTGATGTATTGGATTCCAAATTTTGAAACTTTTATTCTTCAAAAGATACCATTAAGAAAATGAAAAGGCAAAAATCTCAGCAGGAGTGAAAATATTTGCAAAACATGCATCTAGAAAGGACTCTATCTAGACAGACAGAGAGATAAATGTCCTTTCTCAGATACACATTTTACAAATATTTCATGGCAAATATTTTGTTACAAACATATTTACCACAATTTGATACCTACAATTCAGTTATAAAATACATACAACCATTTTTAAAAAATGGGTAAAGGACTTGAACAGAAACTTTACAAAAGAAAATGTAAAGTTGACAGCAAAAACATAAAAAGATGCTCAATATCCTTAATCACAAGGGAAATGCAAATAAAAGCCACAATGAGATACCATTTCCTAGCCAGTAGAATGGCTATAGTGATAATGATAAAAGCAAATATTGCCAAGGGCGTGGAGCAAGTGTAAATTTCATGTATTGCTGGTTAGATGATAAAAAGTGGTGTTTGGCAGTTCCTTAAAAAGTTAGCATCCACATATCCTATTTTTAAGCAATTTCCTTCCTAGGTATTTATTTGAGAAAAATAAAGACAGATTTTCATAAAAATTTTGGTAAAATGTTCATAGCTGCTTTGTTCATTAATAACTGAAAAGTAGAAACATCCCAAATGTTCCTCAGAAGAAGAATCGATACATTCAACCATTACTTTAAAACAAAGATTAGAATGTAAAGGCACAGGGAAACGAAATTAATAGAAATGGAACAACCGTAACAGAAGTAGTGAGTGTCCACACACTGTGAAGATTGTAAGCAATATCCCTGAACTATTGGTGTAGCCGCTGCTGAATGAGAACCTAAACTGCTGTGTAAACTTTCACTAAAAACACAATAAAATATTATTTTAAAAAAATATTTAAAAATAAAACTGAAAACACAATAAAATTCTATTTAAAAAACTATAAAACAAAAAAATAATAAACTCACTCCCCCACCCCCCAAAAAAGGAGAATGGATCAACAAATTGAGGTGTATTCCTATAATGAAATACTATTAAGCAATGCAAATAATAAACCGCTGACACATTGTGTTATTTTTGTTAGTGGCCATCAGGTCCATTCCGACTCATCCTGATGAAGCACCGTCTGGTCTTGTACCATCCTCACAATCGCTACTTGTTTGAGCCCATTGTTGTAGCCACTGGGTCATCCAGCTCGTTGAGGGCCTTCCTCTTTTTTGCTGATCCTCTATTTTACCAAATATGATGTCCTTCTCCAGGGACTGTTCCCTCCTGATAACATGTCCAAAGTATGTGAAACAAAGTCTTCCTTTTAAGGAACATTATGGCTGTACTTCTTCCAAGACAGATTTGTTTGTTCTGGCAGTCCATGATATATTCAGTATTCTTTGCCAACACAGTAATTCAAAGGCATGAATTCAGTCTTCCTTATTCTTTGTTCAGCTTTCACATGCATATGAGGCAATTAAAAATACCATGACTTAGATCAGATGCACCTTAGTTTTCAGAGCGAAATTTTTGCTTTTTAACTCTTTAAAGAGATCTTTATAAATTTGCCAGAAGTGTATTGAACTGCAGTTAAAAATCTGTGCATATATGCCTACATAAAAATAATTATACTTTTTAGATTAGACAACTGAAGGAAAGACATGTTAAATGACAAGTTTTTATGGCAGCAAGTGAGCTCTAAGTCTTAAATATGAGAAATTCCAAACATAGAATTTAGCAATATATCTTAATGTTTTTCTCAATATAGGGTAGCCTTTAAATTAACTGATATGCCTTAAAGCAATGCAATTCTGAAACATTTGATTTGTAAAAACTTTGTTATTCATTCATTCATTGTACACATTTGAGCACCTTCTTGTCACTGGGAAACAACGTTGGAAACCAAATTATCACAAGGTTGATTAGTGGGCATGGACATAAAATCTGAGTTTCATTATTCTTGACCTCTGACTCAGGGCACTCAAGGAAGCAGACTCTGTAACAAGATTGTGTTTGTCGAATAGAAAGTACCTGCATGGGAGCTACCAATATGTGCCTCCTTCACTTGGCTATTTTTGCTGCATTCATTACCAAACCTCTTCTAAAGATTTCCTTTCTTTAGATATATTAAATGCCTTCTGTGTAACCTAGCTGTTGCTGGTGATCTACAGACACACTAAGGAGACTTTGTATATCTTTATTCCAATCCATTGTGTATTAGCTTCATAACTTAACTATGAAAGAATAAATTTAGAAGCAAGCAGTTTGCAACTTATCAAATCTATTCCTTAACAAAATATGTGTTCTTTTTATTACATTCCCTTGAATATATTCTATGAATATAAGCATATTAAATGACAGTTTCATTGTTTTTATTTGCCATTGAGTCACCTCCAACTCATGGCAATCTGATGTATATAACAAAGTGAAATGTTGTCTTGTTCTTGGCATCTTCATGACTATATTCTCCTTATCAGTATATTTTATTGGATGTATCCATGGATGGATGGATGGATAGATAATTGTACATCCTCTTGAAGATATTCAATATATAAAAAAATCATCTTTTGAATATAGTTTCATTATTTAGTAGGAGAAACTTTATTTATGCTAATTTATTTCTAATCCATTTAAAGTAATTTTCTATTTTGCCAACTTATCACCATTTAAGACATTGTTCACCACTTTGAATGAATTATCTGAATGTGCAGAATTGAAACCCCAAAACTTATAGCAGTTTGTGTGGAGTTTTAGTTGACAAGTTTTCACAGCCGTGTTTGGAGTGCTTAGATTTGTCTCTGTGTCATTTCCCCAGCTGCTGCTGCAGAACTCTTTCAGTATAATTAGTTTCCTCTGTAATTCTACCTGCTTTATTTTATTCATTAAAAACATTCTGAGAAGGAATGCATAGTCTTCATCATACTAGAAAGTCATGGTAAAGATACAAATGATCTAATATGAACTAAAGGAAGAGCTGGGACAGAAAGGGGATCCTATGCTAGGGAATACAGGAAGAGATTTGCCATACAGCATAAGCTGGGTCCCAATAAGGAGGAAAGATGAAGCATAAAAAAGAAAGGGGGACAAGACAGGGATGGGGTCTTAGAGTCCCAGAAACCTAGAGTCTTGGCTCCCTGCTGTCTTCTTGGCCATAAACTTAGCAAATCTTCTGCTTCGATAAATTTGGTGAATTGATGTTTTGACAACTTAACACTTCTTTCTGACTTGCTAAAGCATGCCCTAAAATAGATGAATGGATAAATTCCTCAGCCCTTTTATTCTGTTAGCTCAAATAAGAGTGAATGAATGCTCTATCTACCACACTGAGATACCACTTCACATCCCCTAGGATGGCTACCATCCAAAAGACAATGGTAACAAATATTGTTGAGGTTGTGAAGAAACTGAAACTCTTACACATTGGTGATGGGAATGTAAAATGGTGCAACCACATAGGAAAACAATTTGATAGTTCCTCAAATGGCTAAACATAGAATTATCAGATGACCCAGTGACCCCACTCCTAGGTGTGCCTAATAAGGGAAACAAAAATGACTGTCTACACAAAAACTTGTTTATTATTATTATTAACAGTGAATAATTTCTAATCAAATGCTTTGCTCTTTAGAGCAATCAAAATATCCTTTATGGTTGCTTATTGTCCTTCACAAGCCCTGCTGATTTGTACTCTTCTTTTAATAGGTGCAACATAAGAGATATGATGCAATTCTTAAGCGTTTGCATTGTCAGGTGAACAAGCTTCAATCAAATAGAAGGCAATGGCAATGGAACATTGAACAACTGGAAAAAACTGCAGCTGAACTAAGAAAGCACATTGGAATACAAGAACAACAGTGTCATAGGGCAATGTGGTGCCCAGACCGTGCCAACTCAAATTATGAGCCAGACTGCTGAGAAAGTCCTTTGGATTCTTAACAACCAGCAACCACTCTCAGAGGTCTGTCTTAATGACAGATATGTTTCTCCTTTTTTGAATCGGTCATCCATTTATGAAAGTTCATTCCAACCATACCATTGATAGTAGTAGATAGACAATAGGAAGGTGTACTAGAGAATACTGGAAGACACTAGGGATGTTCTCAGTGTGTAAGATGTACTTAGAATGCCTGTTTATAACCATGTAGCATTCACCACTATAAAACTAAAATCAAACCCATTGCTATCAAGTTGATCCCAACTCATAGCAACCCTATAGGATAGAGGAGAACTTCCCCATAATGTTTCCAAGGGTACAAATCTTTATGAAAGCAGATAATCTCATCTTTCTCCCACAGAGCAGCTGATGGGTTTGAACTGCTAACATTTTAGCCAGCAGCCACCTGCTTTAACCATGATGCAACCAGAGTTCCTTATTCACAACCATAGTTAGTAAAAATCTTAGAAGAAAAGAAAAACTTAGATTTCCATTTATTTAAATTGTTTATCTATCTATCTATCTCTATCTATCTATATATATATAAAGGCTGTCTATTTCAAACTTTTTATTAGAACTTTTCTTTTATTACCAATTTCACAGTAGCCCATAAATATTGACATTTACAATAATGTTGTTATATGGTCAATGCTTCAGACATTTTACTCAGTTTTCGTTTTTATACAGAAGGTAGTAATTGTTATTTTCTTTGTTATTAGATAATCTATTTTTAGAGTGTTGTAGTGTATAAAATTTTTGAACACTTCCTTGCTTGTAATTCTTTATTCCTAGTTTGTAACCAAATTAAATTACAACATTTTAAAAGGCAAACATGTTGTTGTTAGTTGCCATCAAATTAGCTCTGACTCATGGTGACCTCATGTACAACAGAATGAAACAGTTGCCCTGTCCTGCACCATCCCCATGACTGCTGGCACACTGAAGTCCATAGTTGTGGCCACTGGGTATTTTGAGGGCCTTCCAAGCTAGGGGGCTCATCTTCCATCACTACACAGGACAGTATTCTGTTATAATCCACAAGGTTTTCTCTGGCTAATTTTCAGAAATAGATTGGTAGGCCTTTGTTTCTAGTCTGTGTTAGTCTGCAGGCTCTGCTGAGACCTGCACACTACTGTTGACCCTGCTGGTATTTAAAATACCAGTGGTGGCATAGCTTCTAGCATTATAACAACCACAGTGCTACCACCTAACAAATGATGGTGGAAGGCAATCATGCAAGCTCATAAAGGAAGTACTGACCAAGACTAACATACATATTTTTTTCTCATTGGAAGGCAAATGCTATGTGCCACGACAACAAATCAAATTTTAACTTGTCCCTTTTAAGATAAAAAGACTCTCTCTCATGGCTCCACTGAGTAAAATGCTGACAAAAAGGAACAAAAAATTATTGAAGATACAGTTTTAAAATATTTGCTTTTAGGATTTAATGATTTCAAAACAACTTTGAAAAGATATCTCAATTCCATTTTCTTCCACTTTTATATATACCTCAGATTCAATAAGAGCTCTGGTAGTGTAGTGCCTGAGGCACTTGACTGCTAACCAGAAGGCTGGTGGTTCAAACCCACCAGCCACTCCTCAGAAGGAAGGTTGGGCAATCTACGTCCGTAGTGATACTGCCTCAGAAACCCAAGGAGAGGTGGCTATGAGTCAGGTCTGACTCGATGGCATATAAAAATAACAACAACATCCAAAGAAGAAAACTAGACTCATTGCCATCGAGTTGATTTCAACTCCTAGCGATCCCTCCTTGGGTCTTCAAGGTGGTATCTCTATGGAAGTAGATTGCCCCATCTTCCTTCTGAAGAGTGATTGCTGGGTTTGAACCTCCAGCCTTCTGGTTAGCAGTCAAATGCCTTGGGCACTATGCCACCAGAGCTCCTCAATAAGAGTATAAAACCAAACCAAACTTACTGCTGTGGAGTTGGATTCAAGTATAGCTAATATAAAACCTGATATTAATAATCTTAGTATGTCTAACTTTGATATTCTTATTATGACTTGTTCTTGTTGTTATGTGCCGTCGAGTTGGACCCGACTCATAGCAACCCCTCCTTGGGTTTCCGAGGCAGTGTCACTACGGAAGTAGATTGCCCCATCTTCCTTCCTAGGAGTGGCTGGTGGGTTTGAACCACCAGCCTTCTGATTAGCAGTCAAGTGCCTTTAGGCACTATGCTACCAGAGCTCCTTATTATGACTTAGTGTTGCTTAAAACCAAAACAAAACCCCTGCCTTCAAGTTGATTCCGACTCAGCGGCCCTATAGGACAAGGTAGAACTGACCTGTAGGGTTTCTAAGGTTGTGATCTTTACAGAAGCAGATTGCCACATCTTTCCCTGTGAAGCAGCTGGTGGGTTTGAACCGCTGACCTTTCAGTTAGCAGCTAAGCACTTTACCACTGCAATGCCAGGGCTGCTTTAGTATGGCTTATTATGGCTGATACTCCAAATGGCTTATGCTGCAATACAGTGAGCTTTGGCCCCTGACTCAAAAACACAACTATGAATAAAAATGGTAAACTTACAGATTATGGTGAGTACCTATGATGTTTGCCTGAATTAAGAGCTATTGAAACAAAAATATTTTAATGTTATTTGCATATGAGAAGATTATTCTTATATCTAAACTTCATCACTTTATTACAATTTATAAAAGAAAAATTCTTGACTTCTGAACTCTTTAAAAGTTTATAAGGAATCTGTGGTTTTCAAAATATTTGTACACAATAACACCTTAAGTTATATTTTTGAAAGCTTACTTTTAAATTAAGATATATGAAAGGTTTAATCTGCTCAAGATAATGTGCCCCATTTGAGAAATTTTCAATGTCATCATCTTGTAAAATATTCATGATAATAATACATGTACCTTTTTAAATGTTATGGCAATTGAAAAAATTATTTGAAATAGAAACTGTTTTTTTCCTTCCTTGCTCATTCTAATCTTGAAACCCCTTTTAGATGAAGAAGTTCCTTAGCCTGATGAAGTAGTGGTTATGATTTTTCAAGAGTCACAAATTATAAAGTTAGAAAATAAAATTTTTTTTTTAACTCTTTAGAGCTGAGTTCTTCTGCTTAGTGTCCTCTCTCACACATGATTCTGATTTAAAACTCAGTCTTTTTTGAAATACCACTCAGTTTTGAATTCTCCCCCTCCTCTTCCTTTTCTTCTCCTTGCAAGTAATCTAAATTCCTTGGGGACTCATTGCTTTGCTATCAAGGGAAGGGCTTTAGTCCAAGTGCCATTCTCTGACCTCACTGACCTCTGCAGACATGTAAGTCTTCTGGTCTTGAGCATCATCTTCTGTCCCTGCTGCATCTGCAGTTGTTATCACCAGTCAATGTAGTCTACCTCTTCCTTGTTCAATCATAAGACCTCTTCTCATCTAATTCAAATTCTCTTTTTCTGCATGCTGGCCAAATTTTATCTCTTTGGAGCCAAGAAAATGATATTCTATCCATGCATTTTTCTCTACTTTGATTTCTGCTATAAACTGGGTCTTCGAAGGCTCTCAGCCCTTTGGAGCTCAGCAAATTTTTCACCTCTCAAAATATCCAGCCTTCTGCAAATGAAAACTATGAATTCAAGAATACTGCTTATACTATAGACTTTAAAAAGTGTACTATGAAATTCAAAGCTGATGAATGGCTTCTTAACTCTCAGCAGGATCTTTCCTGACCCTGGCCTTCTAGATATTATCACCTAAATGATCAGGAAAAGATAACTAGTGCAAGGAGACAGAGATAGAAGAAAACCTATGGTTAATATATCACAGTATTACCTACTACATGTGCAGTCTCTGGGAAAATTATAGTTTAATGATATACAGTCCCTCACATAGGACAGAGTTCCATTCTGATGATAGGGTTCTGATGTAAGTTGAATACCTAATTTTTTCATTTTAGTTTTGATTATTTTTGTCTTTTACTATCAATATTAGCAAAGGGAAGACATGACAAGGTAAAAGAGCTGAATAGAAGAATTCAAAGAGCAGCTCAAGGAAACAAAGTCAATTATTATAATGAGATGTGCAAAGACATGGAGTTGGAAAGCCAAAAGGGAAGAACACACTCAGCATTTCTGAAGCTAAAAGAACTGAAGGGAAAATTTAAGCCTTGAGTTGCAATTTGGAAAGATTCTGTGGGCAATATATTGAATGTTGCAGGAAACATCAAAAGAAGATGGAAGGAATACACAGAGTCACTGTACCAAAAAGAATTGGGTAATGTTCATTCATTGCAGGAGGTGGCATATGATCAAGAACAAATGGTACTGAAGGAAGAAATCAAAGATGCATGGAGGGAAGTAGTGAAAAACAAGGCTCCAGGAATTGACGGGATAGCCATTGAGATGTTTCAACAAATGGGTGCTGCACTAGAGGCACTCACTCGGCTATGCCAGGAGATTTGGAAGACAACTACCTGACCAACTGACTGGAAAAGATTAATATTTGTACCCATTCCAAAGAAAGGTGATCCCACAGAATGTGGAAATTATCCAACAGTATCATTAATATCACATGCAAGTAAAATCTTACTGAAGATAATTCAAAAACTTGCAGCAGTATATTGATAAAGAGCTTCTAGAAGTACAAGGTGGATTCAGAAGAGGACGTGGAACAAGAAATATCATTGCTGATGTCAGGTGGATCTTGGCTGAAGGCAAAAATTACCAGAAAGATGTTTACTTGTGTTTTGTTGATGCAAAAGCATTCAATTGTGTGGATCATAACAAATTATGGATAACATTGAGAAGAATGGAAATTCCAGAACACTTAATTGTGCTCATGAGGAACTTATACATAGACCAGGAGGCTGTCATTCAAACAGAACAAGGAGACACTGCATGGTTTAAAATCAGGAAGGGCGTGTGTCAGGGTTGTATCCTTTCACTATACTTATTCAATCTGTTTCTGAACAAATAATTCGAGAAGCTGGACTATATGAAGAAGAATGTG